ATGACTTGATCTGGTCAAAACACTCTGCCATGTGTCATATCTGACTTCCGAAGACTGACACACACACAGCTACACCTGCACCTCTACCATCCCGTGGAACATGTTTGCAAACAAATCCATCTGGTGTCATACCAGCCACAAGGGCATCATCACCAGTTGGATGAAACCAGGTTTTCATCCAAGAAAAAGTCTGAAATTTCGTTTGTTTTGTTCCTTGTTTGTTTTGCCAGATTTTACAAGTAAACATGCCCTTCTGGATATCCAATTACACATCCCACTGAACGTCCAGCTTTGCTGATGTGGGTTATTTGGACATAGTTGCTGTTGTGTAAATGTTAGGGATACAGAGTAGCAGCCTAAAAACATTATTTTTCAGTTTCCAACAGTACTTTAGAATCTGTACTTGATTAAGAAAGTGTAACCCCAATTATAAACCTACAGTGACGTCACTCAATTGTTCTTGCAAGGCAGTATTTCTAGTCATATCCCGATGCCCTGTTGATTAGGGGGCATTACTTAAATATTGTCCCTCTGCCCCGGGATATTACTGAGGAATAGCCCTTGACTTTGAATTATTACTTGTTTTGAAGATTGATATAACTTAGTCTTGCTATCACTGAATGTGATCGTAAGTTATCACATTATTGAAAACTTCCAACATATAGTGCCGATACCTGGTTTCGAACCTGCAACCCTTCGCTTTCTAACTTGGCAGTTTTATCCACTAGGCTACGAAGGATCGCTATGAAGAATGAGATTGCATGAAGTGCACACGTGCAGGATGCGCATGCAGAGCACGTGCATTGCGCATGCAAGGCAAGGTGTCGACTACCAGTGTCATCCCAGTTGATTTCAACAGTAAATACCAAAATTTTTCCTTATCCTGACTCATGCTCTTTTGCTTGTCTTCTTCTTCTTGCGAACATAGTGGAAACACTTGTATCTCCCTAATTGAAGTTCCCTTCAATAAAGAAATCACTAATTAGTACACCACGAGTTACCTCCCTTCCACAAGCGCGGGAACGAGGGCGCCACCTCCACCAATGTGCCTCACTCTCTCCTTCTTCGCCCAGTGAGCTGGACGTGAGAGCACCTGTGTCTCCCGACACACTATATCCTTTGATTATATTTAGTTAGTTACCTCGTATAGGCATCTATAGAGGTTTAGCTAGTATCATTCAACAATTATATATTGATATTTAGCCGTGTTTCTACTGTTTATTCACGGGACGACCGTGTTTGTTCAGTGGATTACGTTGATGAAAATCTGTACTGTTGCAGATTACGTTTTTATTCTGCTGCTGATCTGCATTTAATATGCCCTAGCTGTACTGCGCCATGTTCTTTTTATTCACGTTGCAGTTGCGGTACTAATTTATCCAATTCTGCCTTTAATAAATATTTACTTTGCGTTTGAGACGCGCAGCAGATAGGTCGCGTATGCAGAGTCTAGCCATGACTGATACACCTGAACCCCTCGCCAGTCTACTGCTGTTGATCGACCCCCCTTCCGTCTGGTGTTCTGCTAGAGTGGTGGAGAGGCGTGGGACGTAGTCCGCCGTCTCCAAGAAGCGTCCTGCTTCCCCAGACATCCCGTCGTCGCAGCCGAAGACTAGAGGGCTTCTACTTCATCTCAACGCAGACTTCGCACCCCCAGGGCAGCATCGTCCTCTGAGGGGAAATCAACGAAGTCTACTAGGACTTTCTTAGCCGAGATTGTTCCCGTCGCAGTTTTGGGCCTGTATGATGATCAGCCGATCATCATACCTGATGTACATCAAAAGAATGACCGATGTCGGCAACAGTGATGTCAGCGCAGATCAACATGCAGCCTGATGTATCAACGCTGATGTTCGATGATCTTCCTGAGGGTCCCGTCGCTACCAACGCTGATAGGGCAGCAACTACTTCATCTCAACGCAGACTTCGCACCCCCAGGGCAACGTCGACCTCTGAGGGGAAATCAACGAAGTCTACTAGGACTTTCTCAACCGAGATTGTTCCAGACGCTGAACTGGGCCTCTACGATGAGCAGCCGATCATCATTCCCGATCTACGCCACAAGACACGACCGGTGTCGGCAACAGTGACGACAGCACAGATCGCTATGCAACCTGATGTGTCTACACCGATGTCGGACGATCTTCGAGAGGGACCCCCTGTCAACGTAGCGGCCACCAGATGTACAGCCTTAGCCTTCGCGAAGGCTCCAACGTAGACGACATCCCAGAGGGACCCCCGTCAATGTAGCGGCCACGACGAAGCCACCTTCGCGGAGGAAGTCACAGACCACCTCGACGAAGGACCCAGATATACAGCCTTCGCGAAAGCCTTCGCGAAGGCTTGATAGATCATCCCCTACCTCGGCTTCATCCGTAGATTCGGACCACCAGACTTCACGAAAGCCTTCATGAAGGTCAAGTCGCCGTTTCTCACGACCGGACGCAGAGGAAGCTTCGCGAAGGCCTTCACGAAGGGCACCTTTATTAGGCTCCAAATCATCTTCGTCCAGAAGGACATCGAGGGATTCCACAAGAGCTTCGCGAAGCTATCAACATTCACCTCACAGATCTCCGCGAAGGTCAACCCACAGACGCAGATCGTCAGGACGTTCACCAAGACGCTCCCCTCGCCATTCTCCATGCCGATCACCTCGCCGTTCACCGCGCCGATCTCCTCGTACATCACCACGTCGATCTCCTCGCAGGTCACCACACAAGTCTTCACAGACACCCGGTACAGTGGTAGAAGCACACAGTCCACCATCTGAAGAGCATCAACCTCTCATCAGCGATCCTGTGGTAGAAGATGATGGAGGCATCAATTTCTCAGACGCTGATATACGTTATTGGATGGTTAACAACCTAGACCTTTCTTCACCTTCCAAGAGTGGTAACTCGGCGCATACTCACCTTACCGCCGATCGACCTGATTGCTGCGGTGCCACAGAATTTGGACAATCATCACAATTCAAATCACTAATTATTAAAATCCAAAGTATTATATATTCCCACCTCCTTTTCCGTCGGATACTACAAGCAAAAGAGCATGAGTCAGGATAAGGAAAAATATGTAATTTTTAGAGTAAGCCCTCCCATCCTCCCCACATAACACTTTGGATTTCCCTGAAAATTCAAATGTTGGGCTCAGTATATGAGGAGAGAGTGAGGCACATGGGTGGAGGTGGCGCCCTCGTTCCCGCGCTTGTGGAAGGGAGGTAACTCGTGGTGTACTAATTAGTGATTTCTTTATTGAAGGGAACTTCAATTAGGGAGATACAAGTGTTTCCACTATGTTCGCAAGAAGAAGAAGACAAGCAAAAGAGCATGAGTCAAGATAAGTATAAAATATCAATTTTACTCAAAAAATTACATTATTGAAATCTTCAGTCAGTTTATGAGTATGATAAAACGTCATATGACCCTCGGGCGTTATTAAGAAGTAGGGATGTTTTCCCTCCAGGAATGATGTTTTCCCTCCAGGAATGCCCTCGGGAGAACATCCTTACTTCTTAATAATGCGGGTCATGTTCTGTCCCATAAATATAACATGTTACATTTGACGACTTTCTACATGGCATTGTTTATTCTTAGCTTTCGGCCGTAGGAGCCGTGCCAATTTACACTCATCAGAGGGGTACACAAAGATCACAGGTTAGACTTCCAGTTGTCTGACTTTCATTTTCGTGGAAGCCGCAGTGCTGAGTGAGTTAGGCGGCTGACTTTGTGTGCTGGCGAGTCGGTGCCTGACTTTGAGGGTGTGGATTCAAATCCCACATAAGACTCAACCCAACAAAAGTAATAGAATCTGTACTTTACTAAGAAGTGAAATCCCAAATGTAGCATCGTCGGGGTAGATTTCTAAATTTACTATGAAACATCTCAGGATATTGACAGGCAAATATTGTTGATAACAGACATGAATCCAGTAAATAATGGCAGATAACTGGACCGCTTAGTCAGAATGAAACAGTGGTCGAAGTGTCCCTCAAAATGGAAATGAACTTCAATGAGCTGCAGGTGTTAGAATGACTGGATAGATGATTGGATACATAGATGTAACCTGCCTGGCTGACGTAAACATGTTTATAGTCCAGTAATATTGAGCATTTATCCATGCACATTGCATGCTCAAAGTGCTGACATATTTCCACTGGTCAGTGAGTACAGAAAACTCCCTATGGAGAATACAACTGCTTGCCTGTCAGGCGCTCAAGGTTCAAATGCTGGGTGGACAGAGGCAATTTTGAACAAACTCATTTACCTAAGGGGAGACCACTTGTTACACATGTGTTTCGTTGTGGGGCAGGACTGAAGTCCTAGAAACTGTCAGGAGTCCAGCTGCCAAACACAGTCACCCATCCAAGGACTAATATATGGTCATCTGACGTTCAATGACTAGTGCATACATCAGTCACATATCAGTATTACGCTGTTAACTATTTATCTCATTAAGAAATTAAAAAGATGTTTGTTGTGACACTTGTTTATTGAATGTCCCCTAATTATTTTACTAGTATATTATAGAACAAAGACAAATGTATATGATATGTGATATTCTGGAGTTGTGACGTGTTGTGTTCTGAGATGAGATTTATGTTACGAGACATGTAATATGTGAGATACTAAATCCTTAATTTGTATGTGTTGTACAAGGCTAGATACCATAACTGTGACCTCACACAGACAGTCAGCCTTGCTATGTATTCTAGTAAGGCCAAAATCCACTTCTGCCATTTTGTAATTAACTTATATCCATTTTCCTTGTATGATTGCAGATACTTGACAAGAGTGCCTATGAATGAGATTCACACATCCACTCGGGCACTTGCTGTTTGATTTGATTAACTGTTTTGCGAGACAAACTTTAGTCAGTTTATGATATTTTCCACAAGTATCTAGATTTACATGGGATGCTGTGCTGTCAATGTTCTCATCAATGCATAAGTAAGTGATATATTAAAGACTTGATTGAAGGGTTAAATGTGTTATATTCTACAGGGGAGATATATGAGGTGGAATTGGTGAAAGGTGCCAGTGGGTTAGGCTTCAGCTTCCAGGGTGGTGAGGACCTTCACCCGGACAACCCCTCCCTCTGTGTGCCCCGAATCAAGAAGCTCTTCGTCATAGGCCCTGCAGCGGAGAGTGGACTGACCAAGCCTGGAGATGTCATACTAGAAGTCAATGGTAGACCAATGAGGCATTTAACAAGAACGGTGAGACAAGTGTCAGATCATTTCATGTCTTGATTGTATTCCATTATAACCTTGTTAACTCTTGCACTTGTTAGTGCTGATCTACTTGGTATTTTTAAAACATCTCTCAAGTGATGCTTGTTCCTTTGATTGGGGAGTAGAAAGGACCTGGGACAAGTTTCCAGCACCTCTGAACAGCTTGCCCGAACACATCCCTGCTCCAATTACTGATATAGAACAATTACAGGAAGCTCTATCTGAACATGGGACCTGTGACCCTCAGTGATGACCAGTTTGTTGCGTAAGGCAGGTTCCAGAAGAATCAAGGATATAGATACACAAGTCAGAAGCGTGTGCTCCCCCCTTCACTGAGTAAGACATTTACAAGTCCCACTAGGAATGCACGTCTACATCATCATCTACATCATCAACATCAAGTACATCATCAACATCACCAATCTTTGACTTTCCGTATGCCCTTTCAGACTGTTTTCTTAGTGAACCTTCGTCACATGTTCGGACCCTCAGATGCCCCTCTAGATCCTTCGGCCCCAGTACTGATCTAGAGTTGTCATGGTTTGACGTTCGCCAAACCTCCATGCTTTGCTGACTCATTGTCTTAGTTCTTCTACCTCTTAGGGTAGTTCGATCCCTCCTGGATGTTCCACTCCTCCAATTCTTGGAGATAATCGATACCTTCAGGATTACTTCTTTGAGTGGCATTTTAGAAGTTGGAAGTCAGAATGAACAAGTATATATGGAGGACAACTTCTTTTATTCTGGAGCACGATGTTTAGATACAGGTTTTTGTATCATTTTCAAGTGAGAACAGGTGATATATATACAACAAGACTAATTAACAATCAAGGTGGAATAACAATGTGATGATAACAAATAGAGGGATATCAGGGGATTACAGGGATAGACATAGAGGCCGGTGGAAGCCAGTGGAACCTTCAGGATTGTGGATCCCTCAAATTTTGAAGATAATTTCAACAGGTGTTGACTTCAATGTTTGTGATGTTGCCTCCTCTGCTCTTTTCTCACTCGCTTGTTGTCCCCGCCGCAACGCGGAACGGGGGACTATGTATTCAGCTGCGTCCGTCCGTACGTCCCGATTCCTGTTAACGCGATATCTCATGAACTGTTGCACCCAATGTCTTCAAATTTGGTGACAGCCTACATTGGGGGATTATGCAGACACCAGTCGAATTGGGTGACTTTGACCTTATTTTCAAGGACACCACGACACTTTGACCACTTTTCAAACTCTTGTTAACGCGATATTTCATGAACTGTTGCACCAAATGTCTTTAAAGTTGGTGACAGCCTACATTGGGGGATTATGCAGACACCATTCGATTTGGGTGACCTTGACCTTATTTTCAAGGTCACCACGACACTTTGTCCACTTTTCAAACTCTTGTTAACGCGATGTCTCATGAAATGTTGTACCCAATGTCTTCAAATTTGGTGACAGCCTACATTGGGTGATTACGCAGACACCAGTCGATTTGGGTGACCTTGACCTTATTTTCAAGGTCACCACGACACTGACCACTTTTCAAACTGTTGTTAATGCGATATCTCATGAACTGTTGCACCCAATGTCTTGAAATTTGGTGACAGCCTACACCTGTTAGGGGGATTACAAAGACACCAGACGATTTTGGTGACCTTGACCTTATGTCTTCAAGGTCACCATAGGGGATTACAGACGATTTTGGTGACCCTTTTTCAAACTGTTAACGTGATATCTCATGCACTGTTGTACCCAGTGTCTTCAAATTTGGTGACAGCCTACATTGGGGAATTACGCAGACACCAGTTGATTTTGGGAGACCTTGACCCATTTTCAAGGTAACCGCGACACTTTTCACACTTTTAACTCTTGTTAACGCGATATCTCATGGACTTTGTACCCAATGTCTTCAAATTTGGTGACAGCCTACATTGGGGGATTACGCAGACACCAGTTGATTTTGGGAGACCTTGACCCATTTTCAAGGTCACCGCGACACTTTTCACACTTTTAACTCTTGTTAACGCGATATCTCATGGACTTTGTACCCAATGTCATCAAATTTGGTGAAAGTTTACATTGGGGTATTACACAGACACCAGTTTATTTGGGTGACCTTGACCTTATCTTCAAGGTCACCACGATACTTTGTCCGCTTTTTAAAGGCGATATCTCATAACACATTGCATCCAATGTTTCAACTATGTTGACAGCCTACATTGGGTGATTATGCAGACACCAGTCATTTCAGGCATCTTGTATGTGACCCAAAAATAAAAATTAGTAAATATAGATATTCCATTCTTTAGCGGCGGGGGACATTGCCACATCAGTGGCAAACACTTGTCTGTTTATGGACTTGAAGCTCTGCCTCTGATGTTGATTTCCTCAGCCTACATTGCATCCCATCTCCATCATCAGAATGCATCTCAACTGTTGGATTTGTCTGTGATCTTGAGACACCTCATCTTAGTTGACTATGAACAATCAGATAGACTCTTTGCTGAACAACCATTCTCCCTTACTCCAGGGCCTAAAGATACAGAGGATGTTTGGCTATGTCCTGTCAGGGCATTGAAGATCTACATTACCGTCTCACAAGATTGTCGTAGGTTGTACAAGTGCCTGTTCATCCCTCTTTCTACAGTTTCTACAGCAGAAGTAAACTTAGCGAAATTAAAAACTTCACACCTGTTTCACGGTCACCAGTTCGAACATATGAGCAAAGGATGCATTGACTAAGGTATTTTTTTAATTCTGAGCACCATGTTGACGAAGTTCCCTAGATATCAGATCCATAGTGTGACCATTTCGACCAGAACAGTCATCCAAACGTCTAAGAGTGAAAATGGTAATTCACAACTTGGAAACTGTTCCCAAATCGTGTTGAAAGAACAGGCCTGGACCATGAGCTGCCATCAAGGGTAGAACCTCCGGAGTTTGCACTTGAGCACGACATCCAGCAGCATTAAGGTTTCCCTGGATAACAAGCAGTCGGGAACGGACATATTTACAAAAGGCACCCCAAACAATAACACTTCCACCTCCAAATCAGTCCACTTCCTGTAAATGTGCTTTGCGCTGAGAGGCTGCATGTCACATCACTCTCAGTTTTTGTTAGAATTTCTCATCTATAACACAAACTGGATGCTGATTTTTGGATACTTCTGGCACAAGCCCTCGTGTCTTTGCGAGTATTAATGATTAAAAAAATATTGTTTTTGAGATGACCTCCGACTCGAAATGCTTCTCAGTACAGTACATCATGACAAGGCCGGACACTTCGGTGCAGCCCACCCGACTGCTTTGCCGATCGCAAGTGCCGTTGTGCCCACAGCTGCTGTTGACATCCACGATAAGGTCGCCGTACATGAAGGTGAGCAGCTCGCAGGCGATTCCGTATGGTTTGCACAGACACACGACCTTGGAACAGTTCATTTCTGGCAGATGTTGTAGTGACAAATCAATTGCGGAGGTGACGTAACACAATATAGCGGTATTCTGCTTGTGATGACACACATTGTCTACCAGGACAGGGACAGTCAGCTGTGGAGCCCGTTAATTGCAGCCGTGTCCATAGATTATGGATTGTCCGGCGACTGCATCCCATCACCATAGCAACGTCAGCTATAGACATGCCTGTGTGCAACATGCCAATGACACGTTCACGCTGAACATTTGACAGTCATGGTATTGAAATTCACAGTATCAATTCTTCTTTGAACTGGTTTTCCTGGTTTGTCACTCTACCATACGTGAGTGAGCAGAAAAGCACTCATCTCAAGTGGCACGTGAAAACACACTTATCGTCCAAAACTTGTTGGCATGTGCTACAGATCGGTGTGAACATGGGTACTGATGTGTTGGATGTCATCTTTGACAATGTTTTTGCCGTCAATATTTATGACAAATGTCAGTTAACAAATTTCAATTCTAATACAAGACAAATCTCATGGATAACAGCTTCTAAATGCCTTTGAAGAATTTCAAATTTCAATTCATTACAAATTGATATTTATGGATGTGAAGTTATTTATTTGACTGAGTATATCTCTAACCAAGATAGTCTTTTTGATGTGCTTTTACATCCTTCAAGCTCACACCTTTGCTGTCTCCCTCCTCTGGTTGCTTCCAGAATTGAGAGGGGTAGCCTTGACCATGACTCTTCACAGTAACTTCTCTTGGACATCATCCTGGAGGGTGCTTCTGGTGATCTTGGACGGTCTTTGTTTGTCAATGCGACTTACAATGCCTGAAGTCCCTTAAATTCATCAGTTCACTCACAGCAACTTTCCACGGCTTGTTAATGCAGACAGTGGTGTAGTCCCGATGACTCATGACATGTTATACTAAATTGTAATCAAAGAATTTACAATGTTGTCCTAAACTGACTCGTTATTACTCTTACCTTGGGATGAATGATCTACCTCTCTCAGTGTTCTTCTGAAGTGTCCAGAATTCATCCATATTTGTGGCTTGGTCATTTTCTTTACACTCACTATCCTCTACTCTATCAATGACTGGCTTTGAAGGTGAGGGTCACATGCATAGGATTGGTGCAGAGCAGAGAACTTACCAAGCTGTTCCCCATTTCTCCTTTACTGTGTTGATGTTGGTAACAGACTGAAAAGTCTTTGGATTCCTTGGCCTGTTGGAAATTAAGATGAAGCACTACTTTCACTTAGCTCTGACATTTTTTTCTTTTGGGACTCGGGACTGCCAACTTCATGGGAGTTTGTGTGAATTATCACTAAGGAATTAGTCTACCTCCAACACTCAGAGGATGAGAAGTCAAGGCCAACCTCCATGTGAACTTGTCAGCTCACCCTTGTTGCCTGGCTAGGGTCATCTGTGGCTCACCATCCAACTGGGAAGAAGTGCATTATGTGAGATGTCAGTCTGTGGATTCCTGCCTGGCCAACTCTGCTCCTGATGCGCTCTTGGAAGTGGGAAGCTTGGTGGTCACAAGATCAATCTGGGCAGGCTGCATGTTCTGCATGTGCTTCTGTATCAGTAATTGGAGGAGAGGTATGTTCAGGCAAGCTTTTCAGAGAGGCAGGAAACACAGAGACAGTCGAAGAACAAGAGAAAGTGCATAACATGAGATAGGATAAGCATTATAAGTATACAATTTATAGTTAAGACTATCAATTTCTCTTCAGGGTATTATGCAAGCAATGAGGTCAAGTAGGTCAGTCAGACTGAAGATGTGTCGGCCAAGACCTGGAGATTTACCAACAATACATTGCTCAGTAAGTGAGATAAGGGAGTAAATGATAAATGTAATATATAGGATAGATTTGAAAAGAACCTCTGACTGATTGAATGGAATGATAAATTGGAGGGTCCAATCTTTCCCCACATCGACCACAAATCCCATTTCCAACCATTCTCTTATCCTCTGCGTAATCTTTGGTTGGCAGCAGGATCTAGAAAATCTAGATCTAGAAACAGGTCAGTTAAAGATTACGCAGAGGATAAGAGAATGTTTGGAAATGGGATTTGTGGTCGATGTGGGGAAAGATTGGACGCTCCAATTTATCATTCCATTCAATCAGTCAGAGGTTCTTTTCAAATCTGTCAACTCTACCCAGACTCTCCCCAGACTCTCCCCAGACTCTCCCCAGACTCTCCTCCAGACTCTCTGCCAGACTCTCCCCAGACTCTCTCCAGGCTCTCTGCCAGACTCTCCCCACTCTCTGCCAGACTCTCTGCCAGACTCTCCCCAGACTCTCTCCAGGCTCTCTGCGAGGCTTTCTGCCAGACTCTCCCCAGACTCTCCCCAGACTCTCCCCAGACTCTCCCCAGACTCTCCCCAGACTCTCTGCCAGACTCTCTGCCAGACTCTCCCCAGACTCTCCCCAGACTCTCTGCCAGACTCTCCCCAGACTCTCCCCAGACTCTTCCCAGACACTCAGCCAGACTCTCCCCAGACTCTCTGCCAGACTCTCCCCACTCTCTGCCAGACTCTCTGCCAGACTCTCTCCCAGACTCTCCCCAGACTCTCCCCAGACTCTCCAGACTCTCCCCAGACTCTCTGCCAGACTCTCCCCAGGCTCTCCCCAGACTCTCTGCCAGACTCTCCCCAGACTCTTTTTGCCAGACTCTCTGCCAGACTCTCCCCAGACTCTCCCCAGACTCTCTGCCAGACTCTCCCCAGACTCTCTGCCAGACTCTCCCCCAGACTCTCCCCAGACTCTCCCCAGACTCTCTGCCAGACTCTCCCCAGACTCTCCCCAGACTCTCTGCCAGACTCTCCCCAGACTCTCCCCAGACTCTCTGCCAGATTATCCCCAGACTCTCTGCCAGACTCTCCCCAGACTCTCCCCAGACTCTCCCCAGACTCTCTGCCAGACTCTCCCCAGACTCTCCCCAGACTCTCCCCAGACTCTCTGCCAGACTCTCCCCAGACTCTCCCAAGACTCTCCCCAGACTCTCTGCCAGACTCTCCCCAGACTCTCCCCAGACTCTCCCCAGACTCTCCCCAGACTCTCCCAGACTCTCTGCCAGACTCTCCCCAGACTCTCTGCCAGACTCTCCCCAGACTCTCTGCCAGACTCTCTGCCAGACTCTCCCCAGACTCTCCCCAGACTCTCTGCCAGACTCTCCCCAGACTCTCTCTCTGCCAGACTCTCCCAGACTCTCAGACTCTCCCCAGACTCTCCCCAGACTCTCCCCAGACTCCTCTCCCCAGACTCTCCCCAGACTCTCCCCAGACGCTCTGCCAGACTCTCCCCAGACTCTCTGCCAGACTCTCCCCAGACTCTCTGCATACTTTCCCTAGACTCTCTGCCAGACTCTCTGCCAGACTCTCCCCAGACTCTCCCAAAGGCTCTCTGCCAGACTCTCCCCAGACTTTCTGCCAGATAATCCCCAGACTCTCTGCCAGATTATCCCCAGACTCTCCCAGACTCTCCCCAGACTCTCTGCCAGACTCTCCCAAGACTCTCTGCCAGATTATCCCCAGACTCTCTGCCAGACTCTCCCCAGACTCTCCCCAGACTTTCTGCCAGACTCTCTGCCAGACTCTCCCCAGACTCTCCCCAGACTCTCTGCCAGACTTTCTGCCAGACTCTCTGCCAGACTCTCCCCAGACTCTCCCCAGACTCTCCCCAGACTCTCCCCAGACTCTCTCTCTGCCAGACTCTCACCTCCCCAGACTCTCCCCAGACTCTCCCCAGTGCCAGACTCTCTCCCCAGACTCTCACGCTCTGCCAGACTCTCCCCAGACTCTCTGCCAGACTCTCCCCAGACTCTCTGCAGACTTTCCCTGACTCTCTGCCAGACTCTCTGCCAGACTCTCTGCCAGACTCTCTGCCAGACTCTCCCCAGACTCTCCCCAAGGCTCTCTGCCAGACTCTCCCCAGACTTTCTGCCAGATAATCCCCAGACTCTCTGCCAGATTCTCCCCAGACTCTCCCCAGACTCTGCCAGACTCACTCCCAGACTCTCTCTCCCCAGACTCTCTGCCCCCAGACTCTCTCTGCCAGACTCTCTGCCAGACTCTCCCCTCTCCCAGACTCTCCCAAAGGCTCTCTGACTCTCCCCAGACTTTCTGCCAGATAATCCCCAGACTCTCTGCCAGATTATCCCCAGACTGCAGACTCTCCCCCAGATTATCCCCAGACTCTCTGCCAGACTCTCCCCAGACTCTCTGCCAGACTCTCTGCCAGACCCTCTGCCAGACTCTCCCCAGACTCTCCCCAGACTCTCTCCCAGACTCTCTGCCAGACTCTCCCCAGACTCTCCCCAGACTCTCTGCCACACTCTCTGCCACACTCTCCCCAGACTCTCTGCCAGACTCTCCCCAGACTCTCTGCCAGACTCTCTGCCAGACTCTCCCAAGACTCTCCCCAGACTCTCCTGCCAGACTCTCTGCCAGACTCTGCCAGACTCTCCCCAGACTCTCCCCCAGACTCTCCCCAAACTCTCTGCCAGATTATCCCCAGACTCTCTGCCAGACTCTCTGCCAGACTCTCCCCAGACTCTCCCCAGACTCTCCCCAGACTCTCCCCAGACTCTCTGCCAGACTCTCCCCAGACTCTCTGCCAGACTCTCCCCAGACTCTCTGCCAGACTCTCCCAGACTCTCCCCAGACTCTCTGCCAGACTCTCCCCAGACTCTCTGCCAGACTCTCTGCCAGACTCTCTGCCAGACTCTCCCCAGACTCTCTGCCAGACTCTCTGCCAGACTCTCTGCCAGACTCTCCCCAGACTCTCTGCCAGACTCTCCCTGACTCTCTGCCAGACTCTCCCCAGACTCTCCCCAGACTCTCTGCCAGACTCTCCCCACACTCTCTGCCACACTCTCCCCAGACTCTCTGCCAGACTCTCCCCAGACTCTCTGCCAGACTCTCTGCAAGACTCTCCCCAGACTCTCTGCCAGACTCTCTGCCAGACTCTCTGCCAGACTCTCCCCAGACTCTCCCCAGACTCTCCCAGACTCTCCCCAGACTCTCTGCCAGATTGTCCCAGACTCCCCAGACTCTCTGCCAGACCCTCCCCAGACTCTCTGCCAGACTCTCCCAGACTCAGACTCCCCAGACTCTCTGCCAGACTCTCCTGCCAGACTCTCTGCCAGACTCTCCCCAGACTCTCACACAGACTCTCCCCAGACTCTCTGCCAGACTCTCCCCAGACTCTCCCCAGACTCTCCCCAGACTCTCCCCAGATTATCCCCAGACTCTCTGCCAGACCCTCCCCAGACTCTCTACAGACTCTCCCCAGACTCTCCTTCCCTGACTCTCTACCTCAGCCAGACTCTCCCAGACTCTCTGCCAGACTCTCCCAGACTCTCTGCCCAGACTCTCCCCAGACTCTCTGCCAGACTCTCCCCAGACTCTCCTCTCTGCCAGACTCTCTGCTCAGACTCTCCCCAGACTCTCTGCCAGACTCTCCCCAGACTCTCTGCCAGACTCTCCTGCCAGACTCTCCCCAGACTCTCTGCCAGACTCTCACCCCAGACTCTCTAGGTCTCCAGACTCTCTGCCAGACTCTCTGCCAGACTCTCCCCAGACTCTCCCCAGACTCTCTGCCAGACTCTCCCCAGACTCTCTGCCAGACTCTCCCCAGACTCTCCCCAGACTCTCTGCCAGACTCTCTGCAGACTCTCCCCAGACTCTCTGCCAGACTCTCTCCCAGACTCTCTGCCAGACTCTCTGCCCAGACTCTCCCCTGACTCTCTGCCAGACTCTCCCAGACTCTCCCAGACTCTCCCAGACTCTCTGCCAGACTCTCTCCCAGACTCTCTGCCAGACTCTCCCCAGACTCTCCCCAGACTCTCCCCAGACTCTCCCCAGACTCTCAGATAATCCCCCAGACTCTCTGCCAGACTCTCCCCCAGACTCTCCCCAGACTCTCTGCCAGACTCTCCACAGACTCTCTGCCAGACTCTATCCCCAGACTCTCCCCAGACTCTCCCCAGACTCTCTGCCAGACTCTCCCCAGACTCTCTGCCAGACTCTCCCCCAGACTCTCCCCCAGACTCTGTGCCAGACTCTCCCCAGACGCTCTGCCAGACTCTCCCCAGACTCTCTGCCAGACTCTCCCCAGACTCTCTGCAGACTTTCCCCAGACTCTCTGCCAGACTCTCTGCCAGACTCTCTGCCAGACTCTCCCCAGACTCTCCCAAAGGCTCTCTGCCAGACTCTCCCCAGACTTTCTGCCAGATAATCCCCAGACTCTCTGCCAGATTATCCCCAGACTCTCTGCCAGACTCTCCCCAGACTCTCTGCCAGACTCTCCCCAGACTCTCTGCCAGAGCTCTCTCCCCAGACTCTCCCCAGACTCTCTGCCAGACTCTCCCAGACTCTCCCAGAAGACTCTCTGCCAGACTCTCCCCAGACTTTCTGCCAGATAATCCCCCAGACTCTGCCAGATTGTCCCAGACTCTCTGCCAGACTCTCCCCAGACTCTCTGCCAGACTCCCTCTCTGCCAGACCCTCTGCCAGACTCTCCCAGACTCTCCCCAGACTCTCGCCAGACTCTCCCCAGACTCTCTGCCAGACTCTCCCCAGACTCTCCCCAGACTCTCTGCCACACTCTCTGCCACACTCTCCCCAGACTCTCTGCCAGACTCTCCCCAGACTCTCTGCCAGACTCTCTGCCAGACTCTCCCAAGACTCTCCCAAGACTCTCTGCCAGACTCTGCCAGACTCTCTGCCAGACTCTCTCCCAGACTCTCCCAGACTCTCCCCAAACTCTCTGCCAGATTCCTCCCCAGACTCTCTGCCAGACTCTCTGCCAGACTCTCT